TTTTTTTCTGGCGAGAGAAAGAAGTGACACTCAAAACCACAACGTTAAAATTACACAAAAAACGCCGAGATACGCAAACTTAATTTTGGGCCGTAGATGATGGATCTGTATTCCGTTTTTAACCGACTTCAAAAAAAAAGAGGAGGCTATCAATTCGTCGAAATATTTCTTTATGTGTGTTACCGCACAACTTTGGACCACGTTAATCGATTTCTATAATTTTTTAACGGAAAGACGGTACCCCAAGTGTGGTCCAATACTAGTTTGGTTTAGATACGGTCATTGGCTCATGAAGAAATTAACGGTAATTCTAATTATTTACATGATAACACTGGATTACAAATTTGTATTTTGTTTTTGTTCGCCAGATGCCACTACCCAATTTGTCTTTAGAATTGCTCTGATTCCGAAAATCGAGTTATTTTTTTTTTGTATCCAATGCATAAATTGCTCAAATGAAAATGCGGAAGGATTTTGTTTATGAAATATGAGCAGAAAAGAGTGTTACTCATACGTCACGTACACTATTTTTTTTTTAAGCTGAATAACGGTAAATTGCAAATATCTCGAAAAGTTATCCATAGAGAAAAAAAATTATGTCAATTTCATACAAATAGATTATTGCGCATTTTCATTTATCTTTTATTATTGTTTATTTATCCACCGATTTTTACCCTTAGTAGCTTTTTGCAAAGGAACAGGCTTTAATGGAAATGAACAAAATTTTCTAAAACTCTGTAATTTTTTTAGTTTTTCCCTGTTAAAATTTGATACTTTTTCATAAAAAATGAAATGCGGACACACCTATCCTCAATCAAAAAGAAGTTAAACGAAAATGCCTAATGAAATGGTTTACCGCATCTTATTCCAGCTATTTCATAGTTTAAAAATCCGTTGCGAAGGAAATCCTACCTGATCGTTTAGCAGTTTTTTCAAAAATTACTTGTTTCGATCTTAAAATATTTTTTCGGACCCAAGTAACAATATCCTTTTTAAGTAACTTTTTTGTCTTACGTAAATTTTATATGTACACGTAAGTCTTAGTAGTAAAACAACGGAAAAAGTGAGTTTGAGAAGTAAACACGACGAAAATCGGTCAAAAATGTGTGCCCGTTGTGAAAAAAAATTGTTTCTAGCAATCATCAAATTAGTAATGCCATCAGCGAGAAATATGAGAATCTTATAAAAAAACCATGTAAATGCAAACTTTGAAGTGTCTGAACATGTCGTCGTACTTTAAAACACTTATGGAAATTAAAAAAATGATCATGAGCAGTTTGTACTTGGAGGTGAAAATAAGAAACTGCCAATGGAAAATCACTCAGCTCTCCTCAAAGAAGATGATAATGTACTTGTTATTAAAAAATGTCCAATTCCTGAATTACATGTGTTACAAGGAACGGATTAGTTCCGCCACTTACAAAAGCAACTTCTGCAAAATTCAGATGCGCTAGATGATCCAGAAATTTATTCAAATGTAGGCAAATTTTCATTTACACCTTTCATTTCTGCTTTCAAAGCTATGAACGAAATTGTGGATTTTTGTTGTTCTATGTCACCACCCGGCCAGGATTTATTAAAGAATTGAAAAAGGCTTATGCCAGTACAAAAGTTTCTGTGACATTGAAAATTCACGTAATTTTTGAACATCTTGAGCATTCCTTGCATTTTTTGGATGGCGAGGAATTTTGATTGTGGTCGGAGCAGCCAGGTGAATCAGTTCATAGAGACTTCTTAAACGTTTGGAACCGCTGCAAAATCAACGTGAAAGAAGAATCAAGAAAGATTAAGAAGAATGGTCGTAGAATACTCCTCCATGCATATTTAAAATTTACATTGTATATTAAAATATACAATATTTAGTTAAAATAAATTTTTTTGGTTCAAACCAAATCGTTATTTTTATTATTCTTGTATCATTTTATTACTCTTGTATCATTTTATAGTAATTATCAGTTATTTTTCAATTCCATAACTATTTTTTCGTAATTATAAAATACAGTGTTACATTAAAATTCTTTCAAAAGCCTACAGTAACCTGGCTTTCCTGCGTAGATATGCGAAAGACTTTAAGGATCCATACACCAGGAAAGCTTTATTTATCTCTTTAGTACGATCAAAACTAGAGTACGCTTCTATTATATGGAACCCCATTTACGGCTGTCATGCCGCCAGACTCGAAAGAGTGCAGAGAAAATTTGTTCGTTTTGCATTAAGTTCCCTTAACTTTGATGACCCGATGCCCTCATATTTTTCCCGTTGTAAACTTATTCACCTACAAACTCTTGAAACTTGAAGAATTGTCCAGTTGCTCATGTTCGTTTTTGATTTGGTTTTTTGGCTCTTTTAATTGTTCGGTCCTTCTGGAGAAGATATCCTTTAATGTGCCTCACAGATTTCTACGCTCATCTCTGCCGTTTTACTTGCGTGCTACTAAGGCTAACTATTACCATTTTGATCCGATTTTCCGCGCTCTGACAGAATTTAACAAAAGAGTCTAAATATTGATTTTTCGTTGCCGAGAAATATTTTCAAATCATCTATTGATTCATTTTTCTTATAACTACTTGTGTATCTAAATCTATAGTATTTAGTGTTAATTATGATAGTCTTATTTTTATCTAGTCTGTAAGATTGTAATCATAGACTAAATAAACTGAATAAACTAAAAACTAAAACTAAACTAAAAAAAAAACTAAATTAACAAAAAAATAAAGATAAAAAAGTAATTAAAAATATTTATAGATCAAAAAAAGTAATTGTTGAAAAAAAACTACCAAACGATCAGCTAAGATTTCATTCGGAATGGATTTTGAAATCATGAAATAGCTGGAATAAGATGCAGGGAACCGTTTTATTAGGCATTTTCATTCAACTTCCTTTGGATTGAGGATAGGTGTGCACAGACGAACAGAAGTGCAAATAAAAAAAAAAAATAGGCCGCAAAGTTAAAGATACCTATACCTAATGTGACCAACTATTTCATAGCTCAAAGAAGTACAGCCTAGGCTGGGGTAAGTTAACGCCGCGAGTCGATTACGAAATTTCGAATACGGCTAATTTCGAGCCCTGAGAGCTCAGTGGTTGTTAAGAATTGCGAGCCAAGATGCTTTCATCTTAGCCTCGCGAAGGTTGGACAGTCTAAAAGAAAGTGTGGAGATGATTCCACTTCATCTCCCTCTTGACAGCTGGTGCAAAAGGATCAGTTGAAATTCCTAGTCTCACAGCGTGAATACCAATCGCACAATGGCCTGTAAGAACCCCCATCCCTAGCCCTTGAGAGGTAACGTGTTTCAAAGTGCCCTATAAAAACATTTGCTGCAGCAGAGAAACGTCTTATTTTTCTTTTTTCTGTCACAAAAGGACCCGGTTTCCCTTAGCCTAATAGCAGTTCGTGCTGCGACAATTCTGTCTGCAAT